TTTATAAACATGAGGTTATTCCCACATGCTCTATGTAATGAAACCATTTTCCCACGTTTTACTTTCCCAGTTCTGTCAATCAGATAGGGCAAGTATTTCTGTTCCCATTTTATAGATGAATAAGCTGGGCCTTAAGGCATTAGTCACTTGGTCTAGGTCAGGGGTCCACAAACAGGCCCATGGGCAAGATACAGCCCACCTCTTGTTTTTGTATTGCCGCTGGAGCATAGAATGATTATTACTTTTTTTAATGATTGGGGAAAAATCAGAAGAAGAATAGTATTTTTGGCATCAAAACTCTATGAAATTCACATTTCAGTGTCCACAGGTGAGCCTCTATTGGAGCATAGGCACACCCACTTGTGTACAGAGGGCTGCTCAGGGGTGGGCAGGGGCCGCAGAGACAGTGACAGCAGAGTCTGAAAGACCCGCTGTCTAAGCCGTGACCGGAAAGAGCTGCTGACCCTGGTCGAGGTCATAAAGCAGTTGATGTGAAAGAGCACAGCGGGCCCTTCCCAGCCGCCCAGAAGAGAGCTCTTCCCCTGCTTGCCAGGGCCTCCGGGCCGGTGTCGCATGGCAGTCACCAGGTGGGAGGGGAGTCCCACGGAATTGCCTGAGTGGTCTTGTCACTGTAGAGATGCTCTGTGGGACAGATGCCTCGTTCCGACTCCCTGAGGGAGGACAGCCGGGGGCGCAGGTTTTTAGCACTGCAGGTGTCCAAGCCAGGGCCCGAGCACCACCAGGGGAAGGGGCCCCGTTTTTCTGCCAGGCGAGTAGAGGAGGTGCGCCAGAACCACACCACCGACCCCCTCTTCTGTGGGAGGTTGAGCGGATCGTCAGCACTTGAGACGTGTGTGAGCCTGAAGGCCTTTGGGAGTTGCGCGGGCCCGCGCTCCCCAGACTTCAGCGGCCTCAGGCTGGGTGACAGAGCGGGAGGCTAGGACACTGGGCCGCTGTGTCAGTGCTCTCTAGCCACGTGACAGCCGTTTACCTTGCTCTAAGACGAGAACTTGGCTCTTTACTCTCCTGATTTCTGAGCTGTCAGTTTCTGTCCTTTTTACGTTGTCTTCCTCTCTTTTTGATTTTACCTAATCTTTCAAATTATAATGTTGTACAAGGTTTCAGGAATCTCCATTTTTAAAAATGTTCATTTTGAAATATTTGATTAATATTAATCAAATATTTGAAACAGTCTCCCAAATACACAGGCCCCCATCTGGTGAACATCTCTGGAGCAGAACTCTGCCTGTGTTGGGGGGTGGGGGGGAGGTTCCCAAAATATCCCTAGAGGAATATTCCATAGTTTCATAGCATAGGGTATCTGATCTCACAAATAAAAGTCCCCAGGGGCGCCGGGCTGGCTTAGTCAGTGGAGTGTGCGACTCTTGATCTCAGGGTTGTGAGTTCCAGTTCCACATTAGGTGCGGAGATGACTTAAAAGAAAAAACCTTTAAGGACAAGTAAGAGTCCCTGTCAACATTGTGGAGGATAGTACGGGATGAGGCTCTGTGCCTGAGTGTTGCTATGAACACCAGCCCACCACTGATCGGCACTGGGATCTTGAGGAACTCACATGTGCCCTGGGAGCCTCAGTTTCCTGTCTGCAAAGCGGGATGATGTTAGCAGTACCACCTCATCGGATAAGCGATCACAGTTTCTAGCAGTGTCTGCAGTGTGGGGCGTTCTCAGTAATGCTGCCGCCATCATCCATAAGCGGATCTGCCTTCCCTTATTTGTGCCCAGATCTAGAACCTGTTTCCTTTTTTTATGTTTCTTTTCCTTGTATCATGGGGGCAGGCAGTTTCAGGCTGGGCTCCAGTTTTTCAGGGGCCCTTAAGTGTGTAAAAATACCTCTCATGCCAGAATCATAAAATCCTGTAATCCTAAAAACCAGGGAAGAAAAATAGAGCCAAATTAATATTAAGAATTCTTGGAGAACTATGCCAAGTATTGCAACTTGAGAGCTCCTCTGTGGGTCACAGTGACACTTTTGTAGGTCTCTGTCCCTTCAGCAGCAGTGGTTCTGCTCCGTTAAGAACCAGCTGACAGAGGACACAGCACTGCTGACTGCAGTAAAAATTGTCTAGTCCTGTTACACCACAGTACACAGCCTACACCCCAGATGTCACCCTGAGTCATTCCCAGACAGCTTTGATATCCCCAAAGGTTCTATATAGAATTCACATAGCATTGAGAGGGAAAAATTACAGGCTCTTTCTTAGATTGTGTGAATTAATTAAAGCATCTGCAACTTGATTTTTCCAAATCAGTGTTGTTTGCTAGCCTGATATCTATTAGCCATTTTATTTTTATGGCTTCAGAGTTGTTTCAGAGGTCGGGATTTCGAGTGAGGCTTTTCTAAAAAGAGGCTGTCCCAGAAGCCATTACAGTCACTCCAGAGGGGCCGACCCAGAGTCTCAGCAGGCAGGAAGCCCTCCGCTGCCAGGTCCCTCCCGTAGAGCCCGCAGAAGAAGCAAAACCGCAAGGAGCTACGATTTTGTGATCAGCTGTTATGTGCAGGTCCACACCTCGACTTTGTATGTATCTCCTGTAATCCTCATAACAACCCTGCAAGGTGGCTATGTGTTCCCATTGTCCACGTGAGGGCCCAGCTGCAGCACAGACAGGTGAGGTGGCCTCGCAGGAGGGCGTGGGCTGCCCCCGAACACAGGGGCTGGGCCTGTCCGGTGCACCGCAGCTCTGCCCCATCCGGGCTGCACGGCCCTGCACAGGCCGCATCGCGTCCTTGCCTTAGCTGTAGTCCCCTCACCATGCGGTTGCAGTGAAGTCGTCCTCTGTTCAGCCAATACGGACCTGGCCCCTTCTCTGTGCTGGGCCCCGTGTTAGATGTGGAGAAGTGCTGTGCTCCCCTGGGCTCTCCGTCTGGAGCGGGGCAGACAGTGGCCAAGGAACCAAGGACTGCCAGCTAGCAGGTAGTGATGAGGACTGGGGAAAGCAAACCAGGCAGCATGATGAAGAGTGATGGGGTGGGGGGCAGGTCCATTGGAGGCGAGGTCTCTGGCTGGGTAACACTTTGGCCGAAACCAGAATTTCTGGCTAAGCCGGCAAGAGCTCCAGCACATGCTAAGTCCTGGGCGAGAGGCAGCTTTGTGCCCTTCTCCATCAGGCAGGCAGTGACCCCACAGCCATGTGCTGTTGATTGATCCATGGCGTCTCCTCAGTAGAGCCAGGGCCAGGGGTTGGGAACAGGGCAGCGGGGGGAGCAGGCAGGGGCCGGGGGTCTGGCAGCTGTCACGGCCAGGGTCCTGCCACCCAGGTTCACCCACCGCATCTGGCCTCTGCAGGTGCGTGCTTTGTAGGAAAGAAGGCAGGGAGGGTAGCGTCTGTTGCTTGTGGAAATTCTGCCTTAGGTAGCTTTCTCAGGGGAGGGTATAAATTACAGAATAAGGAGAGAAGGCAATGAGTAGATGCCATGTGTGTGACATGTTGCTTCTCTTGTCTCAGCTACTCGTGTAGATTCCTCCTCTGCTTGGTCCTTTTTCGTAAAGTGCCTTAGTGATTCCCTGCCGTCCCCGAATACCATTTCCCACCGTCCTTCATTAAGCCTGCCTACACAAAAGCAAAGCTGTAGGCTAGAACATGCCCGTTCGCTGAGAACAGGATAAGAGGGGGAAACAGAAATAAAAGAATGTAGGGTTGGGGGTAGATTAAATGTTTTTCTTTAATCCTGTAAGTAGTGTTACTTAGAACATGTAAGAATGATAGAGATTATCCACCTTTCACGTAGGACTTAGGAATAGTTTACATTTACTAAATGCTTTAAGGAAAATTGATTTATTGACTTCGTATTCTGCCAGCTGAATTTTTTTTTTTTTTTACTTTAATCGTTTTTAATTAAGAAGTAAATTCTTCCAGTAACTCTTAGGTCTGATCTCAATCATTACCATAGCAATACGTGGAATGATTGATATCCTAAAGAGTGTAGACTACATATATTCTCTCTTTCCTATAATTTTAATACCTGAATGAAGTAGTAAGAGCAGCACAAAAGGAAGAACATTTAGCTTTTAGTTTTTCTGGGGTTAAAGGTGGATGCTTGGGCAGATTTTCTCTTTGAAGAGCTCTTCTCAAAGATAATTCAGGGAGTACTGCCCCTCCTCTCCTGGGTCAGCAGCTTAAATCCGTACACGAGGAGCAGCTAAAGCTTTTCCTCGTTACAGAAAAACAGGCAGGGCGTAAGTCAGCATAATCGTTGTCCAAGTGAGGGTTGTTTTCGTCAAAATAGTTTCCCCATTGATGGAGGTGGGCGTCTAAGTCAGCGTATTACTGAAAGGGGTAGTGGGGACCCCGCAACTCCCTGACACCGCCTCAGAAAAGAACTCATTTTAATATGCTGTTTCTTGTCATTTCATTCTTTTTGTTAGATCTTTTACCCTTTTGACATTAATGTGTACTCTTCAGACATCTGGGTGCAAAGTGACAGGAGATAAATTCCTGGGCTGCTCCCACCCTGAACAAACGAAATACGTTACCCACTTAATCTCCTCAACAGTCAGGCCGTCATTTTTGTTTTCCAAGAGGCCAGCCTTCAGCTTCTGCTCTAGAGTCTAGTTATGAATAATGGCAGATTCTTGGTTTTTGAGATACCAGTCTTGTTTGGGGAAATCCCAGGAGACCGAAGTGTGGGTTTAAACATGAATTTGGTGCAGTCCAGGGAGAGTTTTGCAGTCGGTACAGATGGGGGGCTTTGAGTCCTGGTCGTAGATGCTCCACGTCTTTCCGTTCTTCACAAGGGCTCTCTGTGCCAGCGTTGTGTACTCCCCGAGAAACAAGTCTGTGTGTTATAGCAGACTGTACCATGATGTCACTTTTATTTCCATAAATGACTCATGTGTGAGCAAAAATTGGGGGATAGTGTTTTAAGAATATGTTGGCATAGTAGAGGATTTAGGCAGCTCATTTTGCGTTTTCTAATTCTCTTAAAGGCCAGGAGGTCAAATATTTAACCTCTTCCAACATATCTGCTTCCTTTCCTACAGAAACAGATGATTATGCTGAGATTATAGACGAAGAAGACACCTACACCATGCCCTCAAGTAAGTATGCTTCTGATTTTGTTCTCTTTCAGATTTGACAGTATTTAACTTTTAAATATCTCACATTTAAAAGTTTTAGGTATTGTTTTTTAGAACTATTTTTAATAGCTTATTGAGGGCATGACAGAAATACTCTCTTCAACCTTTAGAATTCTATTTCATATTTGGCTAAGTCTGAAGTCAGAAACCTAAAGCTCAAATATCTGTAGTAAGTCTGCTTAGTTACAGGTTTTTCGTAATCTTGTTTCCTGACTCTATGGTAATACAACCTTTATTGGTGACAGAATATCCTCTCTGTAGATGATTGTATTATTTAAAGTTAAATAAATATATACACGTCTATTCACTTCTTTGAATACGCATATTCAGTGAATTGCATTTCCCCTTTGAAGCTTTGTTCTTTATTGTCCTTGACTACCAGTTACAAAGAGCTTCCCACACCCCCAGTGCAGCCGGTCCCTGCAGCTCAGGGTGGGAGGTGTGGAGAGGGAGAGGCTTCAGTTAGGCCCTTCCTGCCGCCTAGGAACGCCAGCATCTGCTTCTCTCTGTTATGTGCTGCTTCTTGACTGCAGAGAACCTGGAAGCCCCAGATCTCATACTGAAGGATATAGTCCCAGATCTTGGATTGGAGACACACTTGAAATTTCATTCACATTAAAAAAAATGTTGTAGGGACGCCTGGCTGACTCAAGCACGTGACTCTTGATCTCAGAGTCTTGCGTTCAAGCCCCATGTGTGGCATAGGGTTTACTTAAAAAAAATTTTTTTTTTTTTTTTTTAATTTTAAAAAAATGTTTTAAACTGGGCGCCTGGGTGGCTCAGTCGTTGAGCATCTGCCTTCGGCTCAGGTCATGATCCCGGGGTCCTGGGATCGAGCCCCGCATCAGGATCCCTGCTCCACAGGAAGCCGGCTTCTCCCTCTCCCACTCCCCCTGCTTGTGTTCCCTCTCTCACTGTGTCTCTCTCTGTCACATAAATAAATAAAATCTTTAAAAAAAAAACGTTTTAAACCTCCCTCTTAAAGAGGCCCAATTATGAGTCTACTGTACAGCCTCAGAGGCCTTAATAATTCAACATCTGAGGTCCTGATTTCAGTAGAGCCGTACATATTTGTAAAATACGTGTTTTGGGTACTTTATTTACCCTGTTGTGTAACTATTTTGAAAGATGCTCTCATTTAGATTAAGAGGCATTACCAGCATCAGGCCTGCATTATCCCGGGTGCACCCTGAATCCCCTTGTAAGAGCTCTTGTGTTAGAGAGTGGTTCAAAACAGAAGGAAGAGGGGAACCTGGGCATTTTGACTTGCAGTAGCAACATGGAAAATGCTTAAATTTAGGTTAGCCATTTAGTCATTTATACATCCCTGCAGACTATCCAAATTTGTATTTGTGTACTTACTATTCAGTGTTGAGTAGTAAAGGTCCAGACCCCACAAAAATGAGTCATCATGCAGGAATTTACGAGATGGAGATTGAAAAGCATTGTTGACGTCACATCGAGATAATTTGAGGAGATTCAGTTTGCTTGTGTCTAGTCCTCTTTTTTTTTTTTTTTTTTTTTAACTGGTGTTTGTTGTTAAAATATTTAGCAAAGTAAATGTTGAAATGTACTCTTGGAGTTTGTTGTTGTTAACCTAATTGCTATTAGTTATTTCTAAGCAAGGTCTTCAATTTTTTTCTCCCTTAATTGCAATACAGAAAGCTATGGAATAGATGAAGGTAACAGGATTCCTTTAAAATAACTGCATTTGCTTGCAATTGCAACCTATGGAATGATGTGGGATGTTTCAGTTTTCAGTTAACTTTTATCTTTGAACTACTTTCCATTGGTTTATTCATGCTGTTAAACCAATGGAACTACTAGCTAAAGTGATTTTAAAGAGGAAAAGAACCATCTAAAATTTGGGTTGGATTTTTCTGTACGGTTTAGAATTTTATAAACCAGGGAGAGATTTGGAAATATTTGGCTATCGCTTTATTCCGTTGGCGGCTACACTAATGGAGTGCGCACAGTGTGGGTTGTGCAGACAGGTTTCCCGGCTGGAGGAAATCAAAATGCTAAATGGTTAATTGGATTAGAATCGATTGACGAGGTTTCTAATGGGTATTTTACCTCCGTGTGCCTCAGCAGCCTACTAAATAATTGGTTTTGTATAGAATCACAACAACGTAATACATTAATTGGAGGCAAATGCTCTCAAAAATATAAAATACTCCCCATGTATAATGTGATATGTTCAGCCTTGACTCCAAGCCACCTGATTTTGAAATTAGTTTTTAGAAGTGACCTCTTTAAACTCTTTTAGCTCTGTGAATAATATAGATAGGATCATAAGAAAGTGGAAAACTCTTAAACTTTTAAAACATAAAGTTTCTCGTGACAGTTTTTTTGTTGCCTCCATATTTTCAAACCAGTTATTTGTTAAATAATTGCTTTAAATAACTGTGTTTTTTAGCCTTTCATATATTAATACTTAAACTAATAGCACTGATTACATAAGCGTATAATACTGCTTGGAGAAACTGTTTAGAAAACTATCAGATATAAACTAAATCGACATTAAAAATATGAAAAATCTACCTTTACTAGAACTCACGTGGTCTTGGTAGTTCACGCAATGCCGTAACAGTTTATGTAATTCCTTTAAAAATACCGTTTAAGAGAATTCCACTCTGTTTAAAGCATTTTCATAGAATGATGTGCCACCAGTGCGATTTGTACTCATGGATGATAACGAAACGAAAAGCGCGTCAAGTGTAATTCCGACATTGGGAATATTGTACTTACATATATCGTGTTTTGCAGCCAGGGATTATGAGATTCAGAGAGAAAGAATCGAGCTTGGACGGTGCATTGGGGAAGGCCAGTTTGGAGACGTCCATCAAGGCATCTATATGAGCCCAGTAAGTCCTCTGCGGCGACCAGAAACCTGAGCTACTTTTGACTGTTGCCTCTTGTTTGTCTTCATGAGTCCTCAGTTCTTTGAGCTTGTCTTTTACAAAGCTCGTCATACATGTCCGCCTACTTGCTATATTCAGAAACAGAAAAATGGCACACTAAGCTCTTAGAGGGCTGGGTCTGTCTTTTATTCATTTTAATCTCTCAGCCTCTCTCCTCAGTAACAGATTCCCCAGTGATTGTTCCATTGCACAGAACCGACAGATAGATGACCAACGTCAACAGCAGGTGGCCGGTATTCCTGCTTACCTGCGTCCTAAAGAAAAGAATATTCGTTTGCCCCAAACTGCCCTCCAAAAGAGATCAACACATTTTTAAAATTTTTTCTTTAAAAAGAGCTTTCTTGAGGTATAAATCACATACTGTAAAATTCACTTCTTTAAAACATAAAATTCAGTAGTTTTCTTAGAATATTGCTAGAGCTGTACAGTCCACTGCCCAGTCCATTCTAGAACATTTTCTTTGCCCCAGAAGGAAGTCCCCACATCCATTAGCAGTCACTCCCATATCACCTTCCCCCCGGCCCCTGGCAACCACTCATCTGCTTTCTGCCTCTGTAGATTAGCCTGTTTGGGGTGTTTCATGTCAGTGGACTCATATGATATGTGGCCTTTCATGATGGGTTCTTCCAGTTGGCATGTTTTCAGGGGTCATCCACATTGTAGCGTGTATCAGGATTTCATTTCTTGTCACTGCTAAATAACATTCGATCGTATGGATAGACCACTTTTTGTCCGTTTTCCCATTGATGGTCATTTGGGGTGTTACCATGTCTTAGCTGTTACGAGTAATGCCCCTGTGAACACTCCTGTACAGTTTGTGTGTGAGTGGTTTTCAGTTCTCTTGAGTAGATACCTGGGAGTGGAATTCCTGGGTCACGTGGTAACTGTTCCACTCTTTGACTAACTGCCAGACTGTCTCCAAAGAAGCTGTCCATTTCCATTCTGAGCAGCAGCGGGTAAGGGTGCCCATTTCTCTGCATCCCTACCAGCACTGGTTATCGTATGTGTTTTTATTAGATCAGTAATTTTAAAGCAGCATTTTAAAATAGAGGGTGGCTCAGTTGGTTAAATGTCCCACTCGATTTCAGCTCAGGCCTTGATCTCAGGGTTGTGAGTTCCAGCCCCACATTGGGCTCCAGACCTAGCATGGAGCCTACTTTAAAAAAAGAGAGAGATAAAATAATAGTACATACTTGCCCAAGAAACTTTTTTAACTAGAATAGTAACAGCTGTACACAGATGGCGCTAATAAGAGTGTACAGACTGTCCCCAACTTACAGTGGTTGTACTTAAGGATGGTTCAGCTTACAGTTTTTCGACTTTGTGATGGTGCAAAAGCGACTTGCATGCAGTAGAAACCATACTTGGAATTTTGAACTTGGATCCTGTTGAAGGCCAGGGGTACACACATCCCCTGTCCTTATGCAGGGTGGCGGCCGCGATCGTGAGGGCCCATCACCGACAGACGGACAACCATTCCGTGCCCACACGGCCGTTCTGTTTGTCAGTTTCCGTAGAGGATTCAGTAAATTGCATGAGCTGTCAACACTTCGTTATAAAATACACTTTGTGTGAAATGGTTCTGCCCAACTGCAGGCCCGTGTGAACACTTCCACGCATGGGTAAGGTGGGTGCGGCTCAGCTGTGTTGTTTGGGAGGTTAGGTGTATCACACGCACTTTCAGCTTAGGGTGTTTTCAACTTATGGTGGGTTTATCCAGACATAACTCCATCTTGAGTTAAGGAAGGTCTGTAGTAACACAGATGATTGACCTTCTGTGTCACCCCTGCTTTGGAAACTGCAAATGGCATTTTTCCGTAGTAACTCCATATCTGTCACTTTTTCACGTCCTTCTTACGTGCACTAGTGACATAGTGATCGTTACTTTTGTAACCAAAGAGCTAAAGGGGCTTTTTTTGTTTTTTGTTTCTGTCAGGAACAACAGACAATTGCCACCAATGTCACTAAGCAAATCAGAGGTTCCATTTTTTAAAACTTCAGTTTTGAAAGCCTCTGCCTTTGTACTTATAGACAATTCTATCATTTATTATGTATTTCTAGCTGTTAACTTCTCTTTAGTTGTTGTTGTTGTTGTTGTTGTTTTACTCTGTGTTATCGTCCTAATTCTCCTAACTCTGTTCTTTGGGGCAAAATGTAGTAGAAAAAGCCCTGGATCTAAGGTTACTCAAAGACTTCCTAACTCAGGAGACCTCTCTCAATCTCCTGTCAGAGGCAGTCAGATCAGCCAGTTGGTTTCCAGATTTTCCAGATTCCTTCAGCCTGACATTACCTGATGCTGACCAGACTTTTTTTCTTTCCCTAAAGGCCCCATAGCTTTCTGAGTGTATGCCTCCTATCTGAGACCTTTCTCTCTGAATGATTATATTCCATTCTCTATTCTTGCGATCATCCTTTTGAAATAGTGATGCACTCAGAGCAGTTGAACATACGGATTATATTGCTTTCTTCACTGTGCACCTACAATGAAAATTGATTTGCTCATTTTTATTCAGAATCTCGTCTTCATGGCAAGTTGGGCTAATGGCCTTCACTCTCAAGTAAGGTTTGTTTACCAGTTTTGTAGCCATATTTGGCAAATCTTAGCAAATAGAAACCCTTCTTTTCCCCTTTGTTCTTGCAATTGCTTGTGTTTTGCTTTTCTGACTTTTCTTTGAGCTTTGAGACTACTGAATCTTTAAAAAACTAGGCGGATTGGCAAAATAGGCTTGCCAATAGCTTAGTCACTCCCATAGTGCTTTGGTTTTGAGAGTTGGGAAAACTCTGAGAACTTAAGAGAACCAAACTCAGGAATCCCACAGTTGGCTGCACTGTGCCCTTGGTTTAGGGGCTGGACATAGGACCTGTCTGCAGCTGAGTGAACTAGATGCATTTGGGTTTGAGTTTTTTGTCACATACTGAAATGTTAAGTCAGCCCTAAATAATTGAAACACTTTATTTTTCTTTTTTTAATAGGAACTTTCTGAAGAAAAAGTGATGTGTAAAACATTTGATATTTAAGACAATAAAGTATTTATCATAAAAAAAAAAAAAGACTTCCTAACTCTTAGACTTGGCTACACCCACATGAGATGGGAGGGAGGTGCAGCTTCTTGGTAGTTGAACTCGGTACCCTCAGAGCTCCTTGCAGTCTCTAGAATTCAGTGACTTACCAGGACCACACAGATAATGGCGGGGTTCATGGGCTTGATTTCATGCATTTTTAAAATAACTAATCCAGCGGTGCCTGGGTGGCTCAGTCATTAAGCGTCTGCCTTCGGCTCAGGTCATGATCCCAGGGTTCTGGGATCGAGCCCCATATCGGACTCCCTGCTCAGCGGGAGGCCTGCTTCTCCCTCGCCCACTCCACCTGCTTGTGTTCCCTCTCTCACTGTGTCTCTGTCAAATAAATAAAAATCTAAAAAATAAATAAATAAAATAATCCATTTCAGTTGTGAAAATACAAGAGAACATTTTTTTTAATATCCATTGTCTAGTGTTTATTAAATATTTGTTGAATGAGTCCCAGTCCCCAGAAAAATACCAGGGTTCACACTTTTTGTTGAGTATCTTCCTGATATATGTTGTACGTGAGTGTTTATTTTGTTTTTAATGTGGGTGTCTAATTTTATAGTGCAAAGGAATCTACTCATTTCTTGGGGCTCCTATTAAGTCCTTTTTCCAGATTATGTTCTTTAGTGTTCTATAAGATAAGTAACATTTCTTCAAGGATTTTTACTAATCCATCAGACTGCAGCTCAGCACACATGTCACGGCCAGGAACCTGCCACTGGAGACTCCAGTAATTATTTCAGCAACAATTCCTCCGTCACCTACCATGTGACAGCGAAGTGGTGGGGACATGAAAATGAACAAAACAGGCACAATTTCTGCTCTCACGGAACTTAAATCTCTCTGAGACAGAAAGGAACAGACAAAAACAAATACACTGAATGTCGAGCAGGGAAGAAATGCTCTGAGAAAAAAGCACGGGCAAGAGGAGGTTGGGGTGCTCTCCCCGTGAGATGGTAGAAGAAGGCCTTCTGATAGGTGACCCGCAGCAGAGCCCTGAAGCAAGAAGGGAGCAGTCCACAGGAGGCCAGTGTGGCCGCAGTGGTGTGTGCGGGGAGGGCCACGGAAGGAGAGGAGACGGGGTCGGGTGGGCTACACATGGCGACCTGGAGTTCATTCTCAGAGCCAATGCAGAGGCTCGTTCACACGCACTGTTGCCTTCATTTGGCAGGGTGATCGGGCTTCTGTCTTATTATTTGAACCTCTGCTGATCACTTGCACATTCTTTCATCATTATTATCTTAGCCTTAAAAAATCTGCTTTTAAATCTCTTTTTCTCTTAATGAATCCCAGAATAGCCCTTCTCTGGATTTATTTAAGTCTCTTAAAGGTCCACTGGTTGTTAATAATTCAGAGCCTAATCATATCTTTTATGGAGGCATATTGGACGACAGTGTGGTATTTTCAGGGACATTGAAAAGACCTCTCGGGCACCTGGGTGGCTCAGTTGGTTAGGCGACTGCCTTCGGCTCAGGTCATGATCCTGGAGTCCCGGGATCGAGTCCCACATTGGGCTCCCTGCTCGGCAGGGAGTCTGCTTCTCCCTCTGACCCTCCCCCCTCTCATGTACTCTTTCTCTCTCATTCTCACTCTCTCAAATAAATAAATAATTTTTTTTTTTTTAAAGAAAAGAATAGACCTCTCTCTCCCCTAAATATTGCTTGTATTTTAAAGGTTTTTTAAAGTCACACCTTGACCAATAACCCAGCTATGTTTGAATCTGCCTCTTTTTAAAGGTTTTTTAGGCAAAAAAACGAAAACAAGAAACCAACTTTGCTTAGGTTCTGGTCTTGCTCACTTTGAACTGACTTCTCCAACATTCTGATCTCTGTGACCAGCCCCTCTGATGCTCAGCATTCCCCAGGCTTCTGCTGTCCAGTTTGGGGGCCGACAGCCACAAGGGCTACTCCCGTGGACAGATGACGAGACCCTGGTTCTGTTCACATACGGCCCTTTATATACGTGCTCCCCGCGGAATCTTAGGTCCAGCATCCATTTGAAACTCTGAGTTTTAGAGAGCAGTACTTTTTTTGCATGTCTTCAGACTGTCTTGCTTAAAGCATCATGGACAATATTTGAGTATGAATTCACAGGATTGATGATGGTTTTGTAGTCTTACAGAAGTTTCTGTTGTTGTTATTCAGAATTCCTGTTAAAAAGGACATTCCGTGTCATTTCTAGATTATACCAATTGGCCCTGTGTTTAGATGGAGGTAGAATTCATGGTCCTGGTCCTAAAGAAGTTCACCATCTAGTTGAGGAAGACAAAGACTGACTCATTCAAAGCAGAGTAGTTACATCTTAGCGAGGCGTATGGCTAGCGCTTCTAAGAAGGCTCTAAGCCCGGACATTCAGCAGACAGACACTCTTGGTAGCAGTGACTGTCCTGCAGGGACCAGGCCACCATTACCACCTGGAATCCTGCATGCAGGCATGCCTCCTCTGCAGGTTAAGAAAGTGCCCCACATCTGTGTCAGAGTCATTTTGCTGTTTCTATTTCTCTTGTTTGAAAATGTTTAGTATTCTGGAATCATATGGTGTGCAACTAGTGTGAAATCTAAAATTAATACAGTTTAAGGTATTCTTAAGATATACCACAGCTAACTTGTAAATGGCATCTGCATTCAAAAGAAAGGTTTTAATAGCGTTCATTGACTCTGCAGATACGTATTGAGCACCTACTGTGAATTCAGTACTGTTGTAAGGGGAACTTCTTGGCAAACAAGACAACAAGGTACCTCTGTCTTGAAACTTACATTTCAGTGATGGGAAGTAGTAATGATGTAAGTGACAATGTACATTATGTGTATATTGTAACATATAATAAAAATGTGTAGAATAGTGACATTGCAATAACCTGAGAGGCCTGTGGCGCAGACAGTTCTGTGCTTGGAGCTTGTGGTGAGGGTTGTGCAGAGCGGCAGGGAGCTAGAGTGCAGGGCAGGCGGCTGCGTGCTGTTTTAGACGGGACGGTTTGACCAAGGATCTCAGCGCAGCTTCCCGGGGGAAGAGCTTTCCAGTCAGGCAGGACAAGAAGGGCAGCCACGGGAAATGATGTTGGAGCATAGAAAATAAGGCTGGGTGTGAGAGTTCTGAGTAAAGAGGGACCCTGGGGGGGCCACGGCAGAGGGCTGGGCTTTTTCTCCAGTGTCCTGGGGACAGGAGGTGCCTCGGGGAGACTGGGTGCAGAAGGGCACACATTGCCGCTAGGAAAGGAGCTTTGGGGCGAGGTGGTGATGGGGTGGTGGAGCCACCAGTGAGTGAGCCAACAGCAGTGGCAGAGGCCGGGTGGGCAGATTCCGGATGCACGCTGTAGGTAGGAAACACCGGTCTTGCTCCTGGATTGTTGGATCTGTGGGAGCTGAGGGAAACTGAGGAATCAGAACTGACCGCTAGGTTGTTGACCTTAAGCATCTGTGTGACTTCGTGTCTCGAGTGAGGTGGAGAAGGCTAAGGAGGAAACGCGTCTGGTGGTGGGTATCTTAGTGAGGGCTCCCCAGGAAAACAGAAGCCCTAAGCTGTGGGTGCGGTGCCTTCAAGACAGATGTGTTGGGAATTGGCTCATGCGATCCTGGAAGCTGATGCTCCTCAGATCTGCAGCTGGCCATCTAGAGACCCGGAGAGCTGGTGGTTTCTTACTTCCGGTCTGTGTCTGAAGGCCTGAGACCCAACATAACCAGTGCAGGTGTAGTCCAAAGGGGAGGAAAGAAAGCAGTGTCCCAGCTCAAAGGTAATTGGGCAGGAGGAATTTCCTCTTATTTAGGAGAGGATCGGCTTTTTGTTCTATTCAGGCCTTCAGCTGATCAGATGAGGCCCACCATATTAGGGAGGGCAACCTGCTTCACTCAGTCTATCAGTTTGTGTGTTAAATCCATCCAGAAACACTCAGAATATGCTTGACCAAATATCTGGACACGCTGTGGCCCAGTCACCTTGACACATAAAACGAACCATCATAGTGGGATATCTGGAGTCTTGTTTAGGTCGTATCAAGTTTAAAGTAACTTTGCTACATCCTCGTCAAGACAGGGCATGGGAGGGTTGGATATCAGTCTGGGCTGAAAGACGAAGTGAGGACTGGAGAGAGAATTTGGAAGTCAGTGTAGAGGTAGGACTTGGTGCTCAGTGAGGTCGCCTCGAATCGAGCTGGCCCTGGGATTGAGCCCTGGGATGTTCCCGCCCTGAGGAGACAGGAAGCAATGTCTTGTCTTCCCACTGTCCTCCTGACCAGTCTTTTCTGCCTGAGGCTGCTGTTGACATGGACAGAGACTCACGATCCAGTAGCAAGGACTCTTCTGAGAGACCTTGGCAAATCCAGGCTTCATCAACACTCGAGAATCTAGCGTGGGCACTGCTTCAGAGTCGGGTCTTGTGACATCCATCCCGAGCTGTTGCCCCCCACTGCTGCTCGTCACATATACTCTGCCCCCCGGCCCCTGTTGCAGAGGGGACATGCCACTTACAGCAGGACGACCTTGGGCAAGCCGCTGAACCTGTCAGCCTTTGCTGACCTGTCTATAAGATGGGTATCCTGGACCCCTCTGTACCTTGTCAGGCTCTCTTACAGATAACCTGTAGGCCCAGTGAGATAATTTACAAAAAGGACAGAAAGGTTCAAAACCTACTGAGAAAACTAAAGACAGCAAGACTATACAGCCCTCCTCTGGGGCCTCGTGGCTGAATGCTCCTCACACCTGTGTGATGGCTCCTTCGTCTGTCCTCCTCCCCTCTCGGGATCCTCTGGTAAGGGTGTCCGTTCGCCACGTTCTCCTGCTTCTTTCTCTTCCGTCCTGTCCTCCTCCTCTCTCCTGCCTCCTTAACAGAATGCGAGGCACCTTACGAAAATCTCCAGTGTGAAGAATATGTGGTTCTGGCAAAGACAACATAGAGCCAAGGATAAGATAAGCAATTAAGTTGCTAATTATAATCATGCATGGTATTCCATCAAGGCTTGGAATGACCTCATTTCTTGTCTTTCTTAAGCTCTGTCTTTTGAACTCGTTCAAGAAAGTATCAGCTTCTCGGGCAAGCAGGTCCACACGCCTTCTTGGTTTCTCTCCACCTTGCCGGTCACCCTGTTAGTCTGCTGTGTGTCTGCCCTTCTCCCTGACCTCCAGCGCTGCAGTGTGCCCGGGTGCCGTGCTCATGCCCCCGGCCCTGAGGATCTCCTCCAGCCCGAATCTGACCCTGAACTCCACCCAGATTCTCCTTCCCCGCTCTCCTGTGTGCCACGCTGGCTCGCTGCCATCTCATGCCCCTCGCGTCCTAGTTCTAGCTGAGCTGCCTCTTCCCTTTGTCTCACCAGAAACCTGAACTCAGCGTCTCAGCACCCCACCCTGCCCCAAGCTTGTCCCAGCCGCCAGCCTGTCACCACACCAGCCCTCAGGTCCCAGAGCATCCATGACCCCGGCTGTGCCCCTGGCCAGCTCTCGGCCAGTCCCTCCCTCCCTCCTTTGGTTTTTCCGTCCTGGTCTCTGCCTCACATATCCTGACACGCTCCTTCCTTGTCCACAGCACTGCTACCCTCTAAGGTACCCTGTGATCAGCTGGTTTCTTGTGTGTGTTGTCAGTTCTTAGTGGGAAGGTAACCTTGAGCAGAACAGGGAACTTCGCTGCCTTTTGTTCAGTGATGTATCCTGAGCATCTGGAAGGCTGCCTGGCACGTAGCAGGAAGTGAATGTTTGTGGCACAATGAGTGAATGAATTACCTACAACATGTTAACGTGCCTGGACTTTTTTTCTGGGGATTTTGTAGAGTATTTGAAGTGTTCCTCTCTTGAGATTTTCAGTTCTGATTCTGTCTGGTCCAGAATCCACATAGTTGCCAAACACACAGCTTTTCATGAACGTGCCCATTGATTCATAAAGAGAAGCTCTTTTTGCATGTGTGTGTGATTCTGAAATTTCCCTAACACAGGAGAATCCAGCTTTGGCGGTTGCAATTAAAACATGTAAAAACTGTACTTCGGACAGCGTGAGAGAGAAATTCCTTCAAGAAGCCTGTAAGTTTCTAGACATTTCTGTGGAACTCCATGTGACTTTTTTTATCTGTGACATACAAGCTGTCTCTGAAGAAGTAAGAAAAATAATATTCTGGCTTGTCTGTGACAACGGCAGTTACTGTCTTGCCTTGCAAATTAATGCCTGTATCTGCAGAGGCTCATACCCACACGTTGCGCCAGGTAAGCCACGATGTTTAGGGTGTGAGCGTGGACAGATTTACTGTCCCCGTCTCCTTCGGCACCGTGCGGTTGAGCATCCTGGCACTGGGACTGGGCAGATGTAGAAATGAGTCCAGCCCGGGTGCCAGCAGGCCCTAGAGTTGGGGGTGAGCAGGACAGACACGGTCCCCACGTGAGGGAGCTCACAGACCAGGGAGAGAGCCGGGACCGGGCCGGGTGCCCCGCCTCTGTGCAGTGCTGCCCTTCGGCTCTCCGCTCACACGTGCGGGGTGAGACTGCGGGGAGGGCCGTGCGTGGGTAGCTGCTCTCTGCTGAGTGCACACTCGTGGAGAGCCAGGACCCCGTCCTGCTTGTACACATCTCCACCTGCCCTCAGTCTGGGATGTCCTTCCTGCTTCCACATCTGACCGTGCGCTTAGAGTAGTTTTTCCTCAGGAGGCTTTGTCACAGGACCACGTTTTCTCCTTCCTAAGTATTTGAAACTAAATAAACACTGCCTAGAAGTTAGTATTGCCCCTCTCTAGGCTTTAAGCTCCACGGGGCTAGGACCCTGTCTGCTGTGCTCACTGCTCAGGCCCAGTGCCCAGCATAGCACTGAACCCATGAGAGGCGCTCAGGGGACACTGGTCATGTGATTGAATCTCGGTGTCCTTCATTACATGGACATGGAACAAATGCTTTCTACCCTCCATTTCAGGAAATATTTACCACCCAGCAGTCCAATAAATTAGTAAGTCATAGAGTAAGTCATATTGACTTGATCAGTATCATTTTCCTCAAAATTGTATTGTACTTTCATCAAAAGAAAAAAGTCTGTCTTTAATCCTGTTCCTGTATCTCTGTATCCGGTATCTTAAGGACGAGACAAATCCTGGCAATGACTTCTGCCTCAACTAGTTTATTTCTACAGAGTGCCTAGGCCAAGAAAACACAGAGTACATCAGTCCCCCTTACCTACTACTCTATCAGAAGAATAACCGGGGACAACTGTTTTTCCCTAGTAACAATGCGTCAGTTTGACCACCCTCACATTGTGAAGCTGATTGGTGTCATCACGGAGAACCCTGTCTGGATAATCATGGAGCTGTGCACGCTGGGAGAGGTACCCTGATCCTCGGACCGGGCCTGGCAGGGCAACTGCCAGCCCGTTTGTCACAGTGTCAACGAAATGATAGTCTTGTGCTTGGCGTTCGTTCAGACCACCCTGGGTGTTTGGTGTCCTTTGTTTAAGAAAGGGGAGTGTGTGAAGGGTACCCTGTGGTTTGGGCTCAGAGACACTAGCGTCTTCCTGGTTAAATTCCCAAGCCATGCCCTAACTCAGTCCTGAAGGCAGTGTTGACCAAGTGGTGCTTTCTTCCTCTCTGGTGCTGCTGCCTACCGCTAGCCCAGGGATCCAAGGATGAAAGAGGCACTCTTAACGGAACTCAGATAAATTAATGCTGCGTTTACGTAAATCTGCAGTAACTTACTCTGCTTGAGAATTCATTGTATGGTGTCTTTCAGACCAACTGATACTAGTCACAGTTTCTTTTGAAAATGTGAGTAACACATGTGGACAGCTCTCCTTATTTGACTCTCTCCAGAACACAGAAATTCCTTAGTTAGGGTGTCACCATCACCTGGAAACTTGTTAGAAGCCAGATTCTTGGGCCCTCGCCCAGGCCTGGCGGATCAGACCCTCGGCAGGGCCGGCGGGGCCCAGCACCTGTTCTCCGGGCCACGCTGTAGCCTGCATGCTTGCGGATGAACACAAGTCAGTTTTCCAGGTGTCTACACTTCACTTACTGGTACTAAAGCTCAGTAATTTAGCCTGAAACATTAGTTACATTTCTTCTCTAATTTTAAAGGACATCAAACACAGTTTTGCTTTTTGTGGAGATTTGGGGGTTCTGCTTAGCAGCCGAGAGCAGTTTGGGTCCTTGCACCTCTGCATGACAACCTCTGCCTCCCTCCCCCTGCGGGCTCCCCGCTGCTCTCCTCTGTGCTTGATAACCTAGTTTCTGGATGAAATGACTTCAGGTCTTTACAACATCTCTTCTTCCTCTGCCCCACCTTTCCAAATCAAACAGAGTGCTTACATACATTTTTTGTTCACAGTATTTTTCTACTTTTGCTTTTGGAGAATTTGCCAGTTTTCCTGGCTTAAACTTATTACTAAAACTTTCTCCTTTATGTATAGATTTTGTAGAATTAGAGTTCAATCGTCTGTCTTCCTTTGCCATGCTAGCATTTAGCTGAACTGATCGTGACAATAGTAATAGGACTGATAAGCCCCGTGGGGTAAATACCAACACCTTTCTGTACCCAAAACTTCCTGGAGGAGGATGGGAGAACTTCTTGCCTCCCCTTCCTCCTCGTACCTGCCTGGGATACAGCGAAGTGTGGGGTGCAGGCGTGCTGGCCGTGTGAGGGCTAACTCCGTCTGTTTGTCCCCCTAACTCTTAATCTAGCGGTAGTTCACACTTCTATTCATTTCCTGGCAGCATCTTTCTGTATTTTTTCAGAAATTTGTCTGCAGTCATGAAGATTTCAGTTTTATAGTAGGATTCAAATAAAGAACAATTAATCATAATTTCTGAGCTAGTATGTTTCATTCTGCCCCTTTGTTTTAGGGGAGAATTGAAGCCATTCTCATAAAAGTGTGGAAATGGGCAGCATTGTTGAATGCAGCTCCTTTGCTGTTGATTTCTGTTCTCTGTCACTAATTCTTTTTTATCTTGGTCACTGTTCCAAAAGCTGAGGTCATTTCTGCAAGTGAGGAAGTACAGTTTGGACCTAGCGTCTTTGATCCTATATGCCTATCAGCTTAGTACAGCTCTCGCGTATCTGGAGAGCAAAAGATTTGTGCACAGGTAAGATCCAGTCATAAAGCTGGTAAGCTGCCCTCTGGACAGGGGAAGGGGATGGTAGCGGGGAAACCGGAGGGAGGAGACACTCACTGTGCCCTGTGACTCTTTGTACTGCTGGACTCTGTCGTATGTAGACGGTACTGGAAAGTCAGGCAGCACCTGTCCCAGCCCAGGGAAGACTCGTGGCCTGTTTGTACGCACAGTTAGAGGGTTTTCCTCACATGGAAACATTGGTTTGCTCTCAGGCCAGTTCTCTCTTCTGCAAATGCTGTTGAGAGACTGTACACGGTCCTAGAGCAGTGAGCATGTAGACTAAGACAGACACTGTCCTGGGAATGCCCCAGGCCCCAGAGGGTCATGAGTGACATCTGTGGCATTCTGTGGAATTTCTATTTCTTATCCGGGTCCTTAGTTTGAATGCAAGGGAAAGCCCTTACAGTTTGCCCACTACTTTATTATCCAGCATGAAAATAAATTCCATGAGCAAAATCATTTACAAGGGTCTAGATGATGGCTTTTATTTTAGGTGATGAGATCTTTTAGTGGTAGCAGGGTTACAGATCCCAGTCGTGCATCCCTGTCTGTCTGTTAATGCAGGTGGTAATATGATTATATGAAAAGTAATAATTCCTTTTTTATTTCTTATTCTCAGATATTTGTTATTTGAGAGTATACTTTGCTGTCATTCAAAATACTGATTATCGTATTAATGAGTAAATATCTGCCAGAAGGAATATATTTGAAGTTAACTCATAAGAGTGTCTTTTTTTCAGTGTGTAATAAATCTGTTTGTGTTGTCTATAAGCTGTCTTTCAAAGTACCTATCAGTATGTCTTTATATAATATAGATGAGTTTGTGGGTTTGTTTTTTCCTTGTATTAAAATTTCTTATCCCAAATTCTTCCTTGTCAGGGACATTGCTGCTCGGAATGTTCTGGTGTCCTCTAATGATTGCGTAAAACTAGGAGACTTTGGATTATCCCGATATATGGAAGACAGTACTTATTACAAAGGTAAGGAATCAGAGCAATAAAGAGGCAATAAGCTCAGAATCTTTAATGATTTTTTATTTCTTAAAAAGCTGTGTCCTAGTAAGCTCAGCTGATTTTTGACAGAGGCATAAAATAAGTTCAGTAGAAGAAAGACAGCCTTTTCAATCCATGGGGCTGGAGTAGTCAGACATCCAGAGACAAAAAATGGACCTCAGCGTGACTCACCCCACATTAACTCAGAGTGGACCATAGACTTAATTATAAAACATAAACCATAAAACTTTTAGGAAAAACATAGGAGTAAGTCTTTGGGATCTAGGGCTAGACAAAGGGTCCTTAGACTTGACACCAAAAATATGATCCATAAAAAGAAACACTTGATAGATGGGACCTTATCAAAATGAAAACTTTTAGCTCCGCAAAAAAACCCTGTTAAGAGGGTGGAAAGGGAAGGTGCAGACCTGGAGGATGTTTGCCAGGCACAGTGCCCGCCTGCAACCACAAGTTATTCCACGAAGGACTAGTGTCCACAGTGTGCAGTGAGCTCTCAGAATCCAGCTGGGAAAACAGAAACCAGGAACACGACGTGGACAAACAGTGGACAGAGAGGCTTTACTGAAGAGGATACGCGGAGGGCAGAGAAGCCCGGGCAGAGGCTCAGACCACAACAAGGTAGCATTGCACACTTGTCAGAATGGCTAAAATTAAAACTAGTGGTAATACCAAATGCTGGCAAAGATGCAGAGAAACTGCATTACTCAAACATTGCTTGTGAGAATGTAAAATGGTACAGCCACTCTGGAAGAGTTTCACGGATCCTTTAGAAGTTAACTGTGCAGCTACCGTACAACCCAGCAGTTACTCTCCTGGGTACTTACTCCTCGCAGAGAAATGAAGGCTCACATTCACACAAAACCTGCATATGGAATGTTCATTGCAACTTTATTTCCAGTAGCCAAAAATTGGAATCAGCCCCGACGTTCTTCAGATGGCAAACATAGACACCTCACACAAGTGGGGCTGGATACGTTGACTCGGTGGAAGCAGTCAGACTGAAAAATCTCCAGTCTGCTGACTCCAGAGACTTTGATCAATTGGTTTTAGAGCTGAAATCCAGCTCCTGTGATTCTTCTTTAATTTTGCCAATTTTGGAATCAGTTTGACTTGGTTCTTTAAATTATTATTGAACAAATATTTTTATTAACAGATGTTCATATCCCTAGTATCTCAGCTAAGGTTTGGATTACAAATCCACATTATGCTCTTAGTGTATATTCTAATTCTTACTACCACTTTTTTTTTTTTTTAAGATTTTATTTATTTATTCATGAGAGACAGAGAGAGAGAGAGAGAGAGGCAGAGGGAGAAGCAGGCTCCCAAGGAGCAGGGAGCCCGATGCAGGGCTCGATCCCAGGACCCTGAGATCATGACCTGAGCTGAAGGCAGACGCTTAACCATCTGAGCCACCCAGGCGCCCCTTACTATCACTTTTGAGAGCCAGTTTCTTTCTCAGTTTTTTAAATTCTTATATTGTGGCAAAATGAGGCCAGATTTTTACATACAAAACCAGTCTCCTTCGTTTCATACCATGGCTTATGACTGTTCTCTTTCCGTATGTCTTCTGTGTACTACAGCTTAGAACAATTTTAACAGATTTTCTGCTTTGTGAAAGGAGAATTCTTGGGTTGTTCATTCATTTCAGTTAGTCCTTTAACATAAAAATGACCAAGCCAGCTTTCTGCTGTTTTTAAATTCATTTCCTATCCAGCTCAAGCCCTGACGGGTCCAGGTTCTGGACTTCTGGTAAAGAGCTGACCTCCAAACAGCTTGATGACTGAGGTTTCATATCACGTAGACAGCATTTAAAATGAGCAGTTGACAAATTCATGTATTTGTTGTCATCTCAGGTCAGTAAGTGCAGATTCCATTAGGCTTCAGGAGAACACCCCCAAAAGGTTGGGGATGCTTTATTCAGGACACACACAGGTGTAGAGTAGTTTGTTTGGAAGGAATTGAACAAAGGATTTGACTTCACTTGTCATGAAGGTGCTTGAAGTTAAGTGGGAAAAAAGAAATGACTCGAATGAAGTTGTCTCCTGATGGAAGGTGCTCAAAGGCACGTGTTGCTCACAGAAGGAAGTCCAGACGAGGCTGGCAGAGCACAGGCACCTCCGCGACCCGGGGCTCCCTCCCCTGTGGACTCCGTGCCCCTGCTGCCTTCTCGGACACACCGCTCAGCTGTGGGCTTCCTCTGCTCCCAGGGCATCCGGCATTTACTCAGTGTCTGTGTCACACCCCGTACCATAGCTTTTAGAATTAGAACTCCTTGAGGAGAGGTACTCTGGGCTGTTCCTCTTGTAAGCCAGCAGTTGAAGGAATGTTCCGTGAGGTGGTGAGTTTCCTTTGCGGCACAGAAGGAAGGTCTGTTAGACCTCAAGAGGAGGACGATTTAGACTCACCTAAGAAGTACACATTTTCATTCCATCCATCGCCTGTCCTGCTCTTTACATACCAGTGAAGGTATAGTTGTCAGTCCTCGTTACATATTCCATATTCGTGCCTTTGCGTGGTTGCTAAAATTTGTAGCTCCCGAAGTCATACAGTGCTTTCATAGTCACGTGTTCACATGCACGGAGCAGTGGAGGACCAGAGCCTGTCTCCGCGGGAGGATGGAAGGGGGAGGGGGCGGGGCAGGATAGCTTGAGCCCCTCTGGCCTTGAACCCCCGCTTGGGCACCTGGCGGTGGGGTGGCCTCAGGTAAGTCACCTAACGTGTCTGAACCTCGTTTTATGAAGAAAATAGAACCTACCAGGATGAGTTGGTTTTCAGGGTTTAAGATTATAATCTGTGCGAGATGTGTATGTGCATGTACACATTTCCCCCAGGAACAGTGGTTCGGTGGTTGTAGAAGCGACTGGGTGTCGTCAGCAGAGGTCCCAGCTGGTGGGTCAGGATCTGTTGCATAACCAAGCTGCAAGCTGGGAGCACCAGTTAACGGGGCTGCCTCGCCCTCGCTCGTCCCCGCCTCTCCGCCCGGAGGAGGGCTGCTGTGCTTTATTTCCCTGCCACAGGCTAACCAGATCACCCCAGACCTCGCCACACCAAGGAAACAAAAAGTAGTTCTTCCAAATAAACAGAAAGTCCAAAGGGTCAGATATTTAAAGCTTTTTGTTTTGATACTAAAAATCCCAGCTAGCTATAACTTAGATCCTTGAGCAGATAACAAGGAAAATTCACTTTCTAAAATTAATCTTCTAGCTTCCAAAGGAAAATTGCCAATTAAGTGGATGGCTCCAGAGTCCATCAATTTTCGACGTTTTACCTCAGCTAGTGATGTATGGATGTTTGGTGAGTATTTTGAAAAGTTTTGTGTTTTTAAATTACATTTCGTATACTCTACAAAACAGACTTAGCCTTAGCTCTTTTTGGAGTATTTAGGCTAATCTGCCTTCCCTTGCCTGACCGCTCCTTCAGAGATGTCCTCTTGGTTCATTCGACAGTCACTGGGCGCACATGGAGCGCCAGCTTTGGGGGTGACTCCTGTGAGGTCCCGCTGTCTGAATCCCCCTCCCTTCTCCAGGCCTCTCTGTCTCCCTGTGCCATCTCTGCATTCCTCCCTGGGAGCAGTCCTAGCTCTTTCCTTCCTTCTCTCCTCTCTTTCTCTCTGCCATCTCGTTCGTTCTTTCTACGTGAATGACTTTAAATGGTTGACCTGTCCTCTGGTTCTGTGCTAGCTTCTCAGCTCCAGAATACCTACCGTGGTGTTTTCCTCATTGTCCTGGAGTCCAGCCTCCTTCCTGACTTGTCTCAAGGCTTGGAAGTTTGATCCTTTGTCTCCTGTGGCATCTGTTTTCACGCCTACTCTGTGCCTTCCCGCCTGCTCCGAGTCAGTCGCTGTCCTGCTCCGCGGTTGTTCTGGTACCTTTTGACTATGACCGTGTGGCCCTCGCTCATTCGGCACTACTTACTTCAACTACTTCATCAAATTTTAAATCACTCTCCCCTTTCCATATGGATGATACTCCTTCCCCACCCCACTCTTCCGGTGTCACTCCTTCCGCCTGGAACACGTCCTAACACCCTCTCCCCGGGTGAAATTCTAACCTTCGGGGTCACCTAAAATGTCCCCTCTTCATGAAGCCTTATGTAGCTGGTGTGTTTTCCAGACATAACCTCCCTTCCTCTGTGTTCCCTGCACTTCCTGTCTCTGCCATGACACTCGCACATTGATCTTGTGGGCAGTCTTGTGTGCGAGTGTTCTCTGCTAGATTTTAAACTACTTCAGGAGAGATGCCCTGATAAGGTTATGTACCTTTTTTCCGCGATGATTAAAAATAACATACATCAAGTATGTGTTATTTTTTCTTCTGTTTACTTGCTATTGGTTTCATCTAGTGCCCTAAGTGATAACAGGTGAAGGAAGGAACTTTTTCTCCAGAGCAGGAAATAGCGTGACATGGTTTAGAAAGGGCTCTGGGGTCTGACTGACGTGGCTTCACCTCCCAGGACCTCGCTCATCTGCTGTGTGACCCAGAGAGCCAGTTGCTTATCCTGTCAAGGAAATTTCAGTTTTCAAAGATTCTAAGATGCCTGTTTTTTCACATTGTAACTTCTCTGGAACTGGTGTCCTAAATCAGTGGCATTTTATGGTCGGTGTTAGTTGGGGACGTGTCTTCCGTGGCCTCCTTGCCTGCACTCGTATGGACTTTGTTCATCCCAGTGTTACTTCCTTGTCTGAATGCGTTTGGAAGCGCTCCTTGGTAAGAATAAAGTAATTCCAAGAGGTAACAGAGGATGGTGCCATAACTTAGTTGCAGTATTTTCCCCCATTTTTGGTCATATAAAAATACTGTTGTATTTTATAATCAGCGGCATCTTAGATTTGATCAAGTACAGTGTTTAAAGAAATGTAAGGTGTAAGGATAATATATGTAAATTTCAAAGAGGGGATGCCAGAAACCTATTAAGGTGTGGAGAAATGATGCCCGGCGCTGTTGTTAGTAATGATGTCATAATTTCTGGCGAGAAATGCAGAACTAAGGCGTTATTTTTGGCATACACTCTTCACTCTGGAACGACGAGAATTCGGAAAACGTCAGAATGTCGTTCACGTTGGTAGGATAATGGGCCTTGCTTCCTTTAAGGCACACCCCGCTGTAGGTGCCAAAGACACTGAAGCAAGGTGCCTCTCCTCAAGCCCGTGACACGGCGTGCAGGGAGGACGGGGGCCAAGCCGGGGCTTGCCCGGGGCTGGCAGGAGGCACACACACAGAAAGAGAAGCACTTGTGCAGAAGAGAAGGGAAGGGGCACTAAGTGTGGGGAGGCTAGCACAAGCAAAGGCGTGCGTGCCGGGGAGGCAAGGCTGCCAGATCAGCCTGCGAGACATGCGAAGCCACCCACTGTCCCCACCAGCCAGAGCATGTGGTCGTCATTCTCCGCCTTAGACTCCGTGCGCTCGTTTACTTTAGAAGTGAGCTTTCAGGTGTTGTTCAGAGGACACCAAGAAAGCATGTGGTCTGCAAGGGTGGAGTGTGAGTGAGGGGTCTGTGGGCAGGGCCACTGCAGCCCAGGGAGTCCAGAGCTTGCCCATGGGGGCAGGGATCCCCTGACCAACTTGTGCATAAGCTAGATGACAGTGCCGACGTGCACCCTAGCCAGGAATGGGCTACCTCGTGAAAGGAGTCTGAGTATTCTAAAGGTGTAAGGCTTAAATTTTAGTATTTTCTTTTGTTAGGCTTCAGGTCAGCTGCCGTAATCATTAGGAGGCTGGACTGCAGTGGAGGGCAAGGGAAAATTCATTCAGCCCCTTTTGAACTGGTTCATTAAACCATGAAGGATCACTGTACCTGGTGGGCCATTTTCTAAGGATTTTTAGAAAAGTAAACCTCTTAGAAAAACTTGGGGTTTTTTTGGGAAATAACTTAATATTTCATTATTTGCGTCATATTAAATTAATACTGCTATTCTTATTTATAACAGAGTTCATTGAATGCTGCTTTATTTAGCTGATTTGCCCAAAATCACACAGCTGGTCCTCTTGTGCCAGCTATGAAGTTACTCCTGAAACATGGGCATTCTTCTCTTCCCACCAAGTTCACAGTTCTGTTTTCATTCCCACTTCACAGGTGTATGTATGTGGGAGATACTGATGCATGGTGTGAAGCCTTTTCAAGGAGTGAAGAACAATGATGTGATCGGTCGAATTGAGAATGGGGAGAGATTACCAATGCCTCCAAATTGCCCTCCTACCCTCTACAGCCTTATGACGAAATGCTGGGCCTATGACCCCAGCAGGCGGCCCCGGTTCACTGAGCTCAAAGCTCAGCTCAGGTAGGAGTGGGGGGAGTGAGGGCCGGGGCTGGGGCAGGCTCATGCGGCTTCTCCCATGCAGTCGTAGCGTTTGAGGTCATTCTATCAGGATGGCTAAGGCTAACCTCTTCTCCAGCAAACATAATTACTTATTAACTGGTTTGCATTTATTTATGCCTTGCTAGAATCCTCAGGAGATTGTATCTTAAAATCTTAAGAAACTCCAGATTAGGATCAGATCTCTCATCCCCTGACATCTGACTGAGCATGGCTTACAAGATCCATGAGAACCTGGTCCCTAGTTGCCCATCCAGTTCCATCTCCCACTCCTCCTCCATCTCCAGCACGCTCCTAACTGCTTACGCTTCTCCTGGCATGGCCCGCCATCTCTCACGTGCTGTTTTCTCTCCCGGGGACGCCTTCCCCCAGCTGTCCCAGCTGCTAACCACTTCTGTGGTCTTCAGAATCCAGCTCGGATGTTAGCTCCTTCAGGGGACTGCCCTGGTCGGCCCTGCCCACAAACAGATAGCCACTCTTTGGCGCCTTTATGATGCTACTGTTTGTTGTCATCAGAACATCCACATGACCTATGCAGCTGCCATTTCATGGCTCCTGATTTGTGCCAGCCACGGCCAGACCCAAACCTCCAGTAGCTCCCGGTTCCTTCAAGGGAGCACGCAGGGACCTGTTAGCGTGCTGAGCCCCTCAGAGTGTCTGCACAGAGTTGACCGTGCCACCTGGCTTGGAGAATTTCTCATTTGCACGCCAGGCTCTAAGCTCTCCATGGGCATCACTGTGTCTTACCTGCTTCTGTGGCCCCGGCGCAGGCATCTAACACGTGCTCAACAAACAGTTGTCGAATTGAAGTCTAGACTGAGACTCGATACTGTAATAAATAAGATATTTTAATGTAATACGTATACATGGGAGCGTTACTGTGTGACCAACACCATGATGTAATGTGTGCTGTAAAACCTGTCTTCATATTTCCCTGATTCTATGTGAGATTTTTAAAACTTGGTGTATCTTCGTCTTTTTTCATAGAAAATGACCAAACATCAGGGTCCAAAAGACCCGGGGGCTCCCCTGGCCCATCCTTGTCCCCCAGCGCTTGGAGCCTTCTAGACTGCCTGTAGCCCCAGCTCATCTTCAGGCAGCTCGGCTTGCTAGCCAAGGCTCCGGGCAAGGAGCGTGTTTCACGAAGAATGAAGGCTGATAGGGAGAGGTGTAAAAGATTCACCCAGTCAGGAATTACTGGCTAAGCTCCCACTTTATTCTAAGCCAGGTTCTGTGGACTCAACCATGAACAAAACACAGTCCTGCCCCCGGCATCTGCAGCCCGGTGGAAGAGATGGGTCAGCCATCCCTCACCATACAGTGAGTGGCACACTCTGGAAGGGGCTCCTCCTTGGGCCCCGTGCTGTGCACCTGCCGGCCTGGTCCCACCCTTCCGGGCCCCGGAGACAGCACAGCTCCGCCTTCCACATGACAGTCCTTCAGGTGTTTCTACACAGCTTTCTTCAAGCTAAAAATCTCCAGTTTCTTAACTCTCATACAATTCATGATACATGCTCTCACTTGCTAGAGCTGGATTTTGAACGTGCTTTATTTCATGTTTTGCTCATACATTTTTTTGTTCCTCCTTGATCTTTCCTCAGAATTAGACAGATTCTGTCCTTGAGATTCCTCCCCTCTCTGACACCAGTGCCATCGTTCCTCCTGCCTGCCTCCCAGACACCTCCTTTACGCCCCGACCTGCTGCTCCACGGTCGCCCTGTGTATTGCCCACACGTCCGTCCCAGGCCGCCCTCCTTTCTCTCAGTATGCTTCCTGGGCCGTGCCAACCTCTCACCTCTGTCTGTCTTCAGCTTCCGTCCTGCCTTTTCTCACAAGGCCCAGAGCCGTGTTCGCATTGCTGCTGAGCATCATGTTCATCCTAAAACAAGTCTGTTGCCTTGCCTCCCAGGCAGCCCCTGGCCCTCACCTTCAATAGGCCCCAAAGGTGCCTTTGCGTTCATCTCCATCTTGGAGTGAGCAGTAATTCCTCGCCGCCCCCGGCTGGCCGGCTGGGCACCCCCTCCCCTGCTCCTCCACCTGGGCTGTCCATCCATCTGGCAGAGCCCCTTAGTTGATCTTCTGAAACATCGCTGTGGACGAGTGGCTCCCTTGCTCGAACAGCCCTCAGTGGGCTCCCGTGACTCCTGTATTAGGTAGAGGCTTCCAGAGCAGACTGAAGATTCCTTCCATCGCGGCCCACCCCTTTCTCACACTGTGACCGCACTAACCCCCCTCGGCCTGGAACTCCTCCTTCTCCTCCCGGTGAAATCCTACTCCTCTTTCTCGGCTGCTTTCACACGCCGGCTCCTCCGTGGCTCCACAGCCGACGAGCCTCTGCCCGCGGAGTCTCCAGAGCACTTTGTTCTTCTTGTCGTGCTACCCTGCGCTGCCCCAGATGGCTGCCCCCGTGTTCACTGTGAGCAGCACGAGAGCTGAGCCTGGGGCCCGGTCTCTGGGCCAAGAGGACTACAGCACCTTTCCTGCCCTCGAGGAGCTCACAGTCTAGTATGTCTCAGCCCTACTAGACTGAGGCTCCTTGAGGGCAGGGATCGTCATACTCGCCTCGGTGCTGCGCGCACCTGCAGGCCAGGGGCCTGCGCACAGTGGGGCCCCACGGCCGCTCCAGTAATGGCTTAGTGCATGAAACCTCACGTCAGGGTTCACTGAAGGCCTGTTTCTTTAGGTAAAGTAGTTCCAAGAACTATCCAAGGTGAATTTTTAGAACTAAATATAACGATTCCATACACACACACATGACTATATAACATAGCTAGGCTGTGATTTATGCATCTTCTGCAGTTAGCACAGGCCACTGAGCGTTCATTTGTTCTGTGTTTTCCTGTGTCAGTCAGAAATGGAGTTTGACTTTGCATTTTATACATGTATAATATGGCTACCGAAGAGGCCAATAAAATTTAACTTCATAATAGCTTGCTTGGACATTTATAAATGTAACAGTGTGTCATAGTAATTAAACAGATTCTTTTATTGAGTTTTACAAAATTTATACTATATCGAAGATTGTTTAACAAAGTAATAAACTTCAGACAGTCTTTACCCCAGAGGTCAGTTAAAAATGTTTCCCAAGTCCCATCCTCCATTTCTACCTTAAAAGAAAATAATTTTGGGGCACCTGGGTGGCTCAGTCATTGGGCGTCTGCCTTCGGCTCAGGTCGTGGTCCCAGGATCCTGGGAATGAGCCCCGCATCGGGCTCCCTGCTCCTCCCTCTCCCACTGCCCCCGCTTGTGTTCCTCTCGCTCTGTCAAATAAATAAATAAATAAATCTTAAAAAAAAAAAAGAAGAAAAGAATTTGGGGGCGCCTGGGTGGCTCAGTCGTTACGCATCTGCCTTCAGCTCAGGTCATGATCCCAGGGTCCTGGGATCAAGCCCCGCTTCGGGCTCCCTACTCCGTGGGAAGCCTGCTTCTCCCTCTCCACTCCCCCTGCTTGTGTTCCTGCTCTCACTATCTCTCTCTCTCTGTCAAATAAATAAATAAAATCTTTAAAAAAATAATAATAATAATAATTTGAATGGATGCAGATCACCATGGGATCCCACACAGCTGTGGGCCATACATTTGTTTGTCTGTTATTCTGAGTTGAGAGAAGTGGCTCTAGGGATGAATCTTGTCCAGCAGAGTCAGACAGCACTTGGGTCAGACTTCCGTGGGTGGATCTCCATGACTCCAAGCATCTGTCCTCCTCACGTCCCACTTTCTTATTCGTAGATGTGAATCCACAGAGAAGGACGAGGAGGTGAGCCTGCGGGCAGCCTGGTAGCAAGTGTAAAATCTCCCCGGTAGGAACACCCTGCGAAATGACTCCTTCTGTGTACTGTGGTGTGCTTGCCCTGTAGGACTGACAGGCTGTAAGAGTGCCCCAAGTAGCTTTTGAATGGAAAAATCATATAATCCCTGGTTAATTCAGTTAATTCTTTGATAGCTACTGTGCCAAGAAACCACAATAAGCAGCTTTAGTATCTGCCCTTGTATCACTTTGGAAGACGCTCCATGATTTGAACTGGTGTCTGCCACAGTGCTTTTCAGGAAGACCTCTCGAACAAATACCATGTTCCTTGATAGCCGGTCTCAGGCCCTTGAGCCACGCGCTTCCTCACGTCACTTCATCTTAGCCCTCACCGTCCTTGGAGATGTAGATGGTATCACCACCGTGGGTTCACAAAAGAGGGGACTGAAACTCTGAGCTTAGGCAGCTCACCTGAGGTCCCAGAGCTGGAACTCGCAGCGAGCCCACCTGAGTCCGGGGCCCAAGCTGTCAGCTGGCACACTCTGGGCCTTGACCTGAGACACAGCTAGATGTCCTTACGTGCTCCGTGTTGTGATTGCGACTGGTGAGCAAATTGCTAATGCTTAGTTAAAAAGGGAAAAGAAGGAAGGAAAAAAAAAGTGTTATAAGGAATCCTTGAAGCTGGTTTTCTTACGTTTTTTTGACTGTCAACCAGAGAACGTCCCCAAAGGCAAGGGCAGTGTGTCTGGCATAGGAACACAGGCCCTCACCCATGAACTTGGAGGGCTGCCTGGCTGCTGTGCGCTGGCCCCAGAGCGTTTGTCCTGTTCACTGTGTTTTGTGTCACCTCTTGAGTGTGCCGCACTTTGCCGCTCTGGCCCTCGGAGCCCCGGGTACGGTAGGGAGCATTGTGGAAGCTGACCGTGAGGCTCTGCGCGGTGACAGAAGCCAGCACGTGTGGGTGCAGCCTGCCGCGTCGGCCTTGGGGGCAGGGGGTTGTTTGTCATCGTGAGTTAATACTGTCGTGTTTGCTTTCGAACATTATCAAGCAAAGCTGGCCTTTGAGAGATTTGTCTGGTTAGGACGCAGCTTGGAGTGGCTACAGCCCCAGACTGATGGCACGTTTTTCGCACTACGTCTCAGCATCATAGTCCAGTGAAGTGTCAGGGCTCCTCGGGACACAGACTGGTTTTGGTCAGTCTGTGAGGGTGCCGGC